TTGCACAGTGAAAATATTCATTCTCATTCATACCTCTTCTACATTTTTGCATTGAACAGTTTTCCCCCACAGCATTCAGGTACAGGCTCACTACATTGTGAGGTCACATGGTGCTAGTGCAGTGATTCAGTCATCATTTTCTGTTTCAAGCTCTGCCCTTTTTTCATTTGCCTTTCCCTATAACTTAGAGTAAATCTGGAAATGGCTCTACTAAATTCAATAGATGTAAATAATATATTCCTTAGGTGAGCCATGAGTGATAAGCAAAAAGCTGATTACAAGTATTGAACATCCTCATAACTATGTTACCATTAAATCAAATCTTAAATTCATTGGTTCTGTTTTTTTCTCTCACTCTGGAATAAGAAAATGAGATTTTGCAACATAAAATAATTTGCTCCTATGAAAAGTCTTTTGAAAAATATCAGCTTAACAAAAGGGCTGCAGTATACTAAGAACCAAAAGTACATCCTACATTGAAAAGAGACCATTAACAATAATGAATCAAATCACTAACTACTCATATTTCAGAAGATGCAAAAATAAATATGACAAAGATAAGGGCAAGGATAGCAAAGATCAGGACAGAGACAGATATCAAAGACAAGAATACTGATCGTAATGAGGATGAAAACAGACAAGGATAATCATGGAGAGAAAGAAAAATATGACAAGAATAACAATGATAAAGATGAAGATGGTTAATACGTTTAGGGAATATGAAGAGAAAGACAGGAACAAGGATAAGTATAATGGTGATGAGGATAAAGCTACCATCTATCTCTTACCTTGACATTGACTTTGACAGTCCTAAGTGACTGCACTTGCAGTTTCTGGTCATCAGGGTCAAAGCTGGTGGCTGGCAGGCGGAGGTTCTGCAAGGCTGCAACCAGGGCTACCAAAGCAGCATCAGTCAGATTCCCATCATAATTGAGGCAGACTATGTCACAGAACAAGCACCACACATACTGCAACAAGGCCCACTTTCTCTTAGTAAATGTATCAGTTTACTCCCATGCTAACAAGGAGTGACATGGACCACCTCCCATACTGCACTGGGAATGAGAGTTCACAAAGCAGAAATTGTGGATCTTGACTCTCTATGCCATATACCACAATTTATCAAGTAAACATGTCATTCTATCTCATTCTATCACATTTCTATTATTAACTTTGTAAGTGTGCAATTCATAAATATTTTTCTATATACATATTGTACTGTAGTATTACTTCATGACTCTTTTCCTATAATGAATATTTTGTCAACAATTTTCCCCATTAAGTAACAAAGAATGTGACTTAACTAACCACTCTCTCCCTTCAAATTATATTGAATTGAGGTTTGAAAGTAGAGACTATATAAAAGTGAAAACATTTACATGAAACAAGACAGTGTGAAATTGTGTCTAAAAACTCCTATCTCCTCATGTGTGGCATTCTTATCTATGTATGTCGTTGCTATGAATGCCACAAACATTCATAGTTCTGACACCATGTCCAACTATGGCATGGTGGTTCCATACAAGTTTCATAAAGCTGAGATCAAGCATTTACTTCTTTGAAAGGTATCAAATTAGGTAAAGGCAACATTATGAATTCCACAAGAGTACTGCCTTTTCTACAAACAAGGGATTCCTCGGATGTAAAACCAATATCAGTTGAATCATTTCAAGATCTTTTGAGAAGAAATATGACATTGTTTACTTTTTACTAGAGTAATAATTTTGGTGGTTTATCTTTTACATAATCAATACAGAATAGCTAATGAGTTTTTGACAAATATTTTTTCTTACTGAGAGTTGGTTTCTTGCAGCATGGTTACTAACTCATTTCTTCACCTTGTAGGTTTTTTTTGTTTTTTTTTATCTCTTTCCCAGATCCAGAACAAGGTTGTGGGTATGTGGTAAAATCCCTTCAAAACATACCCAATTCTGTATATTTGTGCTCAATGACTCGGATGGCTAAGGTGCTCAAGTACTGATCAAGTGTTTGGGAGTTTGAGCCTCTGTGGTCCTGCAAGACACCAACTGTTGTAGTACACAGGCGGAGATGGCAACTTAAATGTAGGTCAAGACTATGCCATCTACTGTGTGCCTATCTATCCATAAATTCTCTATATATAGTGTACAAATATATGTAAGGGGGGGGGGGCAAATTTTTTACAACATTCTAATCCTGAGTATAGACATTCGACCCAGATGACATTGCAGTCAAGTCATGGAAAAAACTGAGATCCCCCAACTCAAGTTTTTCTAGGTGATGTGAACATGCCGTCATCGGGCAATTTGGCCACGTCCCGGTTGATGCGAACTTATCGTCATGAGCAAAGGCCAGGGTGACGGAAAGGACTGCCATGAGTGCACACACCTCTTGGACTGTGATTTGAATCATTTGGCACTTAGCAGGGGGATTTAGCATTATTCCCATCAATAAATGAATGAACATGCATAAGCAGTGACTGGAAGAGCGCCAGCTCAACGGAAGACGCCATTTCCATGCTGCACACCATATTCCTGGCCACTGTGACCAGCGGCGCAGGTTGTATTACGTAGTATTTCAAATTACGAAAAAAGATATATGACAAATAACCAAATCTCACCTTTTTTTTTTTTCTTTTCACCGAATATAAGAAAAATAAGTTATTATCATCTGAATAAAGCAAGTCAAAAAACAAATATGGACATTGGAAAATGGCAGTAAAACTTTAAAAGTTTACAAAAAAGAACTTTGCAAAGGGGAGGCACAGAATCTTGTCACCGCTCATGCCTAGGATAATGGCCACTTACGTAAACCACTGCCTGTGTTTTTGGCACCGTGATTTCCATGACACAACCAGATCCAATGGGTTAAATTTTGCATAGGCATTAATAAACCCATTTATTTTGGTGTTAATAATGAATGTTATATTGTTTTGGTCCTTAAAAAAACTTCTATCACTGCTTCCAGCAAAATTTCCTATAAATAAAGTAGAGGCCACTTAGGCTTGTTTCAGCAGTCTAAGGAATCCATTTTTTTTTTTTAGGAAAAGTAGAAATAATTTTAGCAGTATATCTGAACTATGGGTTATGTATAATAATCATATCACTTTTAAACCTTTATCTTGTAAGTACAAACATACCTTATTATTCACAATGCACAATTCTGTTAGGTCCAACATCCCAGAACTTATTATCACGTTCTTTAGAAACTGACTTGTACTGATAGCTTTTTCTCCCGGTGGACCAGCCTGAAAGAATGAAAATCAATATAAATCCAAAATAAATAATTTAAATCATAACATCTACTCTAAAGTATCCACTTGTATTCTGACCAATAACTGTCACTTAGTAACCATACTAATAAGTTTTATTGATAAAAAAAATATTCATGTATATTAATCCTACAGATCAAAAGGATCTTTATATATTTCTACATGTATTTACTGCCTGACAGCTTCTGTATTATAAACACCACAACTACCATTCCTAAAGCTTTGACTGTTATTACTGCTACAATTACTTAATCTTTATAAATCTACTTCTGCTATTACTCCTGTGAGCTGACTTGTGTTCTTGCTACTTGCCTGGTTCCAAGAAAACACTTGCCTTAAACATAGGTGAGCAACAAGCATATAACTCAACATTAGGGACAATTAATCCCTGATCTGGCTGTCGAAGGGCTGGTGTTGCTATTTCAGCCTTGATGCCACACATGACTGTAGTATGACCCATACGGACTGTGGAGGAGCCCTCAGCAGTAGTGACTGTTCCCACTCGGATCATGATACTGCGAGAATCTGTCAGACCTCGTCCATCTGGCCGCTTCTTCTTATCCAGGAAGCTCCTGTAGAAAAGAATTATGTTATTGAGTAAGTCACATAAAAGACTTATGTGGAACTGATTTACTTCATTTCAAATAAAGGGGTTAAGTGTGAATCCACTTCTGTCATTTTATTCCCATCTTATTCTTTCTTTCTTTCTTTCTTTAACATTGCAGTTTCTTTGGAAATTATGTCCTTTTTGCTACTTTGATTACAGATATGATATTTGTTATTATGTTAGTACCTTTATAACTGTCCTGCTTATGAGAACAAATCATTAGACAGTGGACAGATTCCACATGATTTGAAGGTTTATATATCAAAAAACATAAGAAGCTTGACATGTATACATAAATTAATGAAAAGCTTGAGATGAGACTCCTTCATGAGGCATGCAAAAGAAAATATCAGTGTGAATCAACATGGTTTTGTAATGAGAGATTATACTTATAGTCATCAGACACAATTTTTGGAGTAAAGCCTTTGGATAATGGATATGGAGCAGATGTTGTATTTCCAGGTTATGAAAAGGCATACAGTACTTTACAGAACTCTAGTGTAAAAAATAAGTGTATATATATATATGATATTTGAGACAAAATATCAAATTGGGATACTGCCTTTTTGATTGGGTGGAAAAGTAACGTGCTCCAGAGAAGTCTCTAAACTGCCATAAGGGATACCATGTATAGGCCTATACTATGTACAAACACAATTAATAAATTGAAGTCACAGTGGATATGGTATGCATGGTAATTTTAGTTCTTTTAATTTCATACAGAAAAATATATGAGATTATCTTTAGAATGCTGTGTACAGACATGTACCTATATTCAATTGTAGATATTATAGACCTTGAAAGACTTCAACACAAGCCACAAAACTTATTTCAAGACAATGGAAACTGTCAATATGATTCTATCTATCAAAAGTTAAGTTAATCAGTGAAATAGACAAATTAAGGAGAGGTCTTTTGGTCCACAATGACAATTATAGATGACCTTAAGGTTTTGGCTACGGAATATTCGTCAGCTGTGATAAAAAAAAAAAAAAAAAAAAAAAATCAACCAGTGAGTTCTGGAGCAAATGAACAGTCTACCAGATGAAATAGTAGATCAAAATATTGTCGACAGATTCACAATTTAAGTTAAATGTTAAAATCGCATCAATGATTCATATGCTTTAATGGATGTACCTAAAAATAAAACACTCTTTAGACACTCTTTGTAAACTTCATTTCTGTATAGGCTACAATTGAAACTGAAAGTGACTAAGAAAGAACAACGGGGTAAGTATTAAGGAGGTACCCAACTATGACTGACTTATAAGAGTTTTAAGCATGAGTGAGACTGCCTTGGCAAAAACCAAGATTAACTATGGCAGTCACTAAGGCTGATAATGACAGTGACTGAGACTGACTGTGACTAATGAAGCCTGAGAATGACTGAGATTGAGAATAATAGTGATGGGTCATCAATAGTCCGACTATGACAGAGCCCAAGACTAAGACAGGTTTACAGTGACTATGAAGATGAAAATAAGGAGACAGATAAATACAGTGATCATAATGGAACCTGAACTAAAGCAGTATATAACTAAATGTTAGCACCAGAGTTAAGATATAGAATGATAGAGATAACTTTATATTTGGTCATCACATCAGTATTTGGCAATACCATCAGTAATTTTACTTAATACCTTCACATAACTGATTTTAACAATTTTGGTGTCATTGGATTCCTCTCACTCTCTAGTATCCAAAAATATAGAAATAATGCTGCAACATTCTTGGCCCCAATTACAGGGGAGAGCATAAAAGGTACCAGGGAAATTGCAGGATAAAATATAAATAATATGTACAGAATAAGGCACAATATTGTTGAAGGCATGGGGCTGTGCCCCCTGCAGCCCCATTTTTTGCTTTCCTGGACGGGGGTGAGGGCAGAAACCCCTACATGAGGGTCGCAGGAGGCAGAACCACATTCATTGAATAGCATAGTGACTGAATCTGTGTAAATTATTCATATTTAACCCTACAATTTCTGGTAAAATTTCAGATTCAGCCTGCCTTCGACTTTCGAAATGATTGTTTTTGGAATGGATAATTCCTTCACTGTTTAACGCTGTAATGCTGCTGTTCTCCATCACATATGACTGCTTAACGAGTGACGGAACTTGTACTCCCCGACGTCAAAGTTGCTTAACCCACTAACACAGCTATATTTGGAAATTGAAACAAAATCGGCGACATATTCGGAGCGCGAGCTCCGATCCAACGTCACACTAGTGGGACACCAGGCAATGTTTATTTTTCTGGATGTCTCATATATGGGATACCTGTCGTAAATGGTTTTAGCGTGTATGCACTGTATTTTTTGGAAGAATTTCAATGATTTACACAGCAAATCAGAACAAAAACACTAAGGCCTGCACATCTTAAACTATATTCTATCCCCTTCTATTTTTCCAGCTTTATAAGATGGCAGTGTCCATTTCCCTCGATCTATGTGCGATGGTGTCTTTAACTTATTCCTTGTTCTGTTTACAAAAGGAAGGACAGGATATCAGACGGCAATTTTTAAAATACTGAGTTAAGTTATTGGACACTTGAGTGTCCAATAACTTTGTTATTATTGAGTTACAGCTGAAGTTTATAGAAGATAAGTTTCTTGGAATCACTCGCTCTATCGTTTGCATATATTATTTCTCGTTTAAAAGAAGGCTGGCTGGAAATTTCCCTGTACCCAATTTCCCTGATACCTTTCATGCTCTCTACTGCTACCATGGCCAAGATTGTCGCTAATTGGGGAGGTTTCAGCGCAAAAATCTATATCTATTTGAATAGTAGAGAACGAGAGTAATCCATCAATACCAAAATTGTCGAAACCCATTATGAGGAACTATTGTGTAAAATTACCAAATTACCATACCATGACTGAGGAACATTCTTAAAATTGAATAGAACAATAATTTTAGCGTAAACCACGAGGCATGAGTCTGTGGTATGGGTCCTCTGAGCACAAGGCTCTCTCAGATTAAAGTTTCCAAAAAAATCAGAGCAACTTTCCTTCTAAATATTATGAACGCATTTCTATTAGATTTTTCTTTTTCTATTTCACATTTAAGTCATATGACAACAAACCCACCTATAATAGCTGTCTGGCTCAAAGGATTTCCACGTCTCGTTGGTCGTCATGTTGTTGTTTTGTTGACAGAGCGGGCGGAGTGCATTCGAGTCAGGGCCAGACCTGCTTCATTCAAGATGCTCTGTTTAGCGCGGTTAAAGTTGCGTTATATGAAATTAGGATTTTCAACAGTTTTGTTTTAAAAATTACATGGACGTAAAATTAATCAAATTATTCTGTTACAGTACCGGTAAAATATATATATATATATATATATATATATATATATATATATTATATATATATATATATATATATATATATATATATATATATATATATATATATATATATATATATATATATATATATATAAATTGATATGTCCATTTATCCCTCTCAAAAATCACTAAAAGTTTAGTATGAGATTACCAGCTATTCTTATAAGCAGAAAAGAAGAAAAGAGGAAAATGTGTTTTGAAGAAATAAGCCGAGGTTCTCCGGAGCGGAAAGGTTGCCCACTGTAGGAGAAACTATGCAAGTGATTAATTCCACGACGCAAGATTTGTAATTGATGCTTCAATATTTTTGCCAGAATATGTGTTATTCTGATGGAGATGCGTTATCTAAGTATAATTACACAATCAACGTTTCTGATCTCAGCCGCGGACTAAATCGAGCGATTTTAAAGGAGGGAAGATGCTGCAAGTGCTAAAATACATACTGGTTGGCGAGATTGTAGTAATTAGGCGCGTGGTGGGGGTTATTTAAAGTATTATAAGTTTAGGGGTGATGCCTGATTATCAATCATGATAAAAGACCAACATTAAGATAAACTTATGGGTCAACTGAATGGGTTCTTCCCTCATCTTACTGAACTGATATACTCTTGTATCATTTTCTGCTTGTGAGAACTTTAAGCATTACACTGGCATTTAATTGATAAACATTATTCAATCATTATCGCATTTATTTGAAACTCTAGCGGTGACAATAGGTTTGATATTGAGGGTTTTAAGGTCGAATCTAGCAGAATAGGAAGGTCGCATCTAGCGAGTTAGAAGGTCGAATCTAGCGCAGTGGAAGGTCGGATCTACTGGATTTAAAAGTCGAATATTTCATGTCTTTCGTTCGCATAAAAGACTCAAAGGTCGAATCCAATAGGTTTTAGGACTAATTTATGTGGAAATGAGGGACAAGTGTAGCGCATCTCCAAATGTGTCGATGGCAACACCGCTCGAGGTCGGCCTTGGAGTTGGGTCGGCGACGGAATCAACGTCTTATATTGTGATTCTCCTTACATTATGGCCTTTATTGCCCGATGTGGAATGAGAACGAGAGTGCTGGCGCAACTAAGAATTGCGCGATTCTACTCTGTGGAAAACAAGGTTAGGAGGCGGGGCAAGAAAGGGATTTTCATTTTTATCCAAAAGAGGGTTTTCTTGAGAAATTTTAGTGGGGAATCCCCGCTCGGGATGCGGTAGGCCTACCTCTTGAAGAAGTAGACGTGATTATTCCCGTATTTTTGCTTCTTTCCGATAGAGGGAGTGTGTTGAGGAGGGATGACTTATGAAAGTCTTTATTCTGAGGAATCTTTACAAAAGAAAGTATCCCTCGTCTGGCGGGAAATCATTATGTTGTAAATTTACAGATAATTATGGTGTAATGTTGACAGCTAAAGCAGTTCAAAACCAACCAAACAGTATTCTAGGGTAATTTTCAAGAGTAGTCATGCATCTTGAAATTCATCACGTTTGGTATGTATAGGTTTCTTAAGATGTCTAGTTGGCATTTACATTGCTACTAGGCAGTGATAGCAACTAGATCAGAAGGGCAGGGAGGGAAAGATATGTCCTTGGGAAGTGGTTTATAAACTGTGTAGTAGTTATGTATTTTTGTCAACATTAGGGGTAAACTACCTCCAACCCTTGCCCTGTTTGCCATGCAATGCCTCATGAAACGTTTTGTCAGGTCAATCGTTCTCTTGATTTTGCCGCACAATCAACACTGCCTTGTCCAGTTGAATGCAGGGAATTGATACCAGATTTTATGGATGATTTTTTTTTTTTTTTTTTTTTTTATTATTATTATTATTATTTAGCCCCGCATACTGTCCATGTATAGGTGCACACCTTCCAATTGCAGGGACAGGGGATAGCATACTGTAACTTAACCTTGCCTAATCTACCGAAACAACTTAGTTTAATCTAAGTGAACCTAACAAATCTTAACCTAACCAAATCTTGTCTTTGGTCGCACTTTTCTACTATCTTTACATTATAATGAGGGTGAGATTTCAAAGCATTTAATTGCATTGCTTGGAACTCTATAGGCAAATTGAAGTCTTGTTTACTTCAGCAGAGAACAGTGCTTCCCACAATCTTTTACCTTTATATGTGGCATTACCATTCATATCTGCAGATTTTTTCTTGTAGTGACGACTGCAACTTTTTGTCCTCTACAAGAATTCAAATTGCCCTAACTTAGAGCATCCATATTGTAAAGATTAACCCTGGCCTCTGTATCTGTTTCATTCCCCCAACAGAGCTCCACTGGCCTTGCATGGAATGCTGCCAGTGTAGTTACAAGAAAAATTTGTACAGGTTCCCTATTTGAAGTCAAATTGCCAGTGAGATCTACAAGCTCCTCCTTCCCAGAATGTATGTGGTGAAGGATAAAAGTTCTTTACTAAAGTGCCAACGGACACTGTACCAATATATTATGAGTCCAGTGGCAGACATGCTGCATATTTGGTATAATACCCTCTTGGCTTATCTACCTCTCTGTGGATGAGTGTTTGTTTAGGTACCTTTAATGAAAAAGAAAACATTGATAAAGCCGGGTAATTCTTTACAGTATGGATCCCAACTGCATGTCACAAAATTTATTCAACAATCCAAATTACCACAACTGGCTGTGCAGTAACAATTAACGTAACAATTTAAGAGCAATTGATTTCCTTTCAGGCCGGTGTTGTGGTTGGTGTTTATGATAATGATGGCAAGGAGACTCTCAGTGATGGAGCCCACCATGTCAACACAGAATCTTCAGGAAATCTAAGCCGACTCTTGCAGTAGTAAGTGTTTGATGCTGGATTCTCTCTCCTCTTCCTCCATTCTTTCCTCTTGTTCTGTCTCTCTGTGAGAGTGAGTGTGAGAGTGTGAGTGAGTATGAGAGTGAGTGTGAGAGAGTGAGTGAATGAGTGTGAGAGTGAGTGAGTGTGAGAGAGTGAGTGAGTGTGAGTGAGTGAGTGGGAGTGAGTGAGTGAGAGTGAGTGAGTGAGAGTGAGTGAGTGTGAGAGAGTGAGTGTGAGAGAGTGAGTGTGAGAGAGTGAGTGTGAGAGAGTGAGTGTGAGAGAGTGAGTGTGAGAGAGTGAGTGAGTGTGAGAGAGTGAGTGAGTGTGAGAGAGTGAGTGAGTGAGTGAGTGTGAGAGAGTGAGTGAGTGAGTGTGAGTGAGTGAGTGAGTGAGTGAGTGTGAGAGAGTGAGTGTGAGAGAGTGAGTGAGTGTGAGAGAGTGAGTGAGTGAGTGTGAGAGAGTGAGTGAATGAGTGAGAGAGTGAGTGAGTGAGTGAGTGTGAGAGAGTGAGTGAGTGTGTGTGAGAGTGAGTGAGTGAGAGAGTGTGAGAGAGTGAGTGAGTGTGTGTGAGAGAGTGAGTGAGTGAGAGAGTGAGTGTGAGAGAGTGAGTGAGTGAGTGTGAGAGAGTGAGTGAGTGAGTGTGAGAGAGTGAGTGAGTGAGTGTGAGAGAGTGAGTGAGTGAGTGTGAGAGAGTGAGTGAGTGAGTGTGAGAGAGTGAGTGAGTGAGTGTGAGAGAGTGAGTGAGTGAGTGTGAGAGAGTGAGTGAGTGAGTGTGAGAGAGTGAGTGAGTGAGTGTGAGAGAGTGAGTGAGTGAGTGTGAGAGAGTGAGTGAGTGAGTGTGAGAGAGTGAGTGAGTGAGTGTGAGAGAGTGAGTGAGTGAGTGTGAGAGAGTGAGTGAGTGAGTGTGAGAGAGTGAGTGAGTGAGTGTGAGAGAGTGAGTGAGTGAGTGTGAGAGAGTGAGTGAGTGAGTGTGAGAGAGTGAGTGAGTGAGTGTGAGAGAGTGAGTGAGTGAGTGTGAGAGAGTGAGTGAGTGAGTGTGAGAGAGTGAGTGAGTGAGTGTGAGAGAGTGAGTGAGTGAGTGTGAGAGAGTGAGTGAGTGAGTGTGAGAGAGTGAGTGAGTGAGTGTGAGAGAGTGAGTGTGAGAGAGTGAGTGTGAGAGAGTGAGTGTGAGAGAGTGAGTGTGAGAGTGAGTGAGTGAGTGTGAGAGAGTGAGTGAGTGAGTGTGAGAGAGTGAGTGAGTGAGTGAGTGAGTGTGAGAGAGTGAGTGAGTGAGTGTGAGAGAGTGAGTGAGTGAGTGTGGAGAGTGAGTGAGAGTGAGTGAGTGAGTGAGTGTGAGAGAGTGAGTGAGTGTGAGAGAGTGAGTGAGTGTGAGAGAGTGAGTGAGTGTGAGAGAGTGAGTGAGTGTGAGAGAGTGAGTGTGAGAGAGTGAGTGTGAGAGAGTGAGTGAGTGAGTGAGTGTGAGAGAGTGAGTGAGTGAGTGAGTGTGAGAGAGTGAGTGAGTGAGTGAGTGTGAGAGAGTGAGTGAGTGAGTGAGTGTGAGAGAGTGAGTGAGTGAGTGAGTGTGAGAGAGTGAGTGAGTGAGTGAGTGAGTGTGAGAGAGTGAGTGAGTGAGTGAGTGAGAGTGAGTGAGTGAGAGAGTGAGTGAGTGAGTGAGTGTGAATGAGTAAGTGAGTGTGAGAGTGAATGAGTAAGTGAGTGTGAGAGTGTGAATGAGTAAGTGAGTGTGAGAGTGTGAATGAGTAAGTGAGTGTGAGAGTGTGAATGAGTAAGTGAGTGTGAGAGTGTGAATGAGTAAGTGAGTGTGAGAGTGTGAATGAGTAAGTGAGTGTGAGAGTGTGAATGAGTAAGTGAGTGTGAGAGTGTGAAGAGTAATGAGTGTGAGTGTGAATGAGTAAGTGAGTGTGAGAGTGTGAATGAGTAAGTGAGTGTGAATGAGTAAGTGAGTGTGAGAGTGTGAATGAGTAAGTGAGTGTGAGAGTGTGAATGAGTAAGTGAGTGTGACAGTGTGAATGAGTAAGTGAGTGTGAGAGTGTGAATGAGTGAGTGAGTGTGAGTGTGAATGAGTAAGTGAGTGTGAGAGTGTGAATGAGTAAGTGAGTGTGAGAGTGTGAATGAGTAAGTGAGTGTGAGAGTGTGAATGAGTAAGTGAGTGTGAGAATGTGAATGAGTAAGTGAGTGTGAGAGTGTGAATGAGTGAGTGAGTGTGAGAGTGTGAGATAAGTGAGTGTGAGAGTGTGAATGAGTAAGTGAGTGTGAGAGTGTGAATGAGTAAGTGAGTGTGAGAGTGTGAATGAGTAAGTGAGTGTGAGAGTGTGAATGAGTAAGTGAGTGTGAGAGTGTGAATGAGTGAGTGAGTGTGAGAGTGTGAATGAGTGAGTGAGTGTGAGAGTGTGAATGAGTGAGTGAGTGTGAGTGTGAATGAGTAAGTGAGTGTGAGAGTGTGAATGAGTAAGTTAGTGTGAGAGTGTGAATGAGTAAGTTAGTGTGAGAGTGTGAATGAGTAAGTTAGTGTGAGAGTGTATGAGTAAGTGAGTGTGAGAGTGTGAATGAGTAAGTGAGTGTGAGAGTGTGAATGAGTAAGTGAGTGTGAGAGTGTGAATGAGTAAGTGAGTGTGAGAGTGTGAATGAGTAAGTGAGTGTGAGAGTGTGAATGAGTAAGTGAGTGTGAGAGTGTGAATGAGTAAGTGAGTGTGAGAGTGGAATGAGTAAGTGAGTGTGAGAGTGTGAATGAGTAAGTGAGTGTGAGAGTGTGAATGAGTAAGTGAGTGTGAGAGTGTGAATGAGTAAGTGAGTGTGAGAGTGTGAATGAGTAAGTGAGTGTGAGAGTGTGAATGAGTAAGTGAGTGTGAGAGTGTGAATGAGTAAGTGAGTGTGAGAGTGTGAATGAGTAAGGGTGAGTGTGTTGAATGGTAAGTGTGTGAAGAGTGTGAATGAGTAAGTGAGTGTGAGAGTGTGAATGAGTAAGTGAGTGTGAGAGTGTGAATGAGTAAGTGAGTGTGGAGTGTGAATGAGTAAGTGAGTGTGACAGTGGTGAATGAGTGGAGTGTGAGAGTGTGAATATGAGTGAGTGAGTGTGAGAGTGTGAATGAGTGAGTGAGTGTGAGAGTGTGAATGAGTAGTGAGTGTGAGAGTTGTGGAATGACGTAAGTGAGAGAGTGTGAATGAGTAAGTGAGTGTGAGAGTGTGAATGAGTAAGTGAGTGTGAGAGTGTGAATGAGTAAGTGAGTGTGAGAGTGTGAATGAGTAAGTGAGTGTGAGAGTGTGAATGAGTAAGTGAGTGTGAGAGTGTGAATGAGTGAGTGAGTGTGAGAGTGTGAATGAGTGAGTGAGTGTGAGAGTGTGAATGAGTGAGTGAGTGTGAGAGTGTGAATGAGTAAGTTAGTGTGAGAGTGTGAATGAGTAAGTTAGTGTGAGAGTGTGAATGAGTAAGTGAGTGTGAGAGTGTGAATGAGTAAGTGAGTGTGAGAGTGTGAATGAGTAAGTGAGTGTGAGAGTGTGAATGAGTAAGTGAGTGTGAGAGTGTGAATGAGTAAGTGAGTGTGAGAGTGTGAATGAGTAAGTGAGTGTGAGAGTGTGAATGAGTAAGTGAGTGTGAGAGTGTGAATGAGTAAGTGAGTGTGAGAGTGAATGAGTAAGTGAGTGTGAGAGTGAATGAGTAAGTGAGTGTGAGAGTGTGAATGAGTAAGTGAGTGTGAGTGTGTGAATGAGTAAGTGAGTGTGAGAGTGTGAATGAGTAAGTGAGTGTGAGAGTGTGAATGAGTAAGTGAGTGTGAGAGTGTGAATGAGTAAGTGAGTGTGAGAGTGTGAATGAGTAAGTGAGTGTGAGAGTGTGAATGAGTAAGTGAGTGTGAGAGTGTGAATGAGTAAGTGAGTGTGAGAGTGTGAATGAGTAAGTGAGTGTGAGTGTGAATGAGTAAGTGAGTGTGAGAGTGTGAATGAGTAAGTGAGTGTGAGAGTGTGAATGAGTAAGTGAGTGTGAGAGTGTGAATGAGTAAGTGAGTGTGAGAGTGTGAATGAGTAATGAGTGTGAGAGTGTGAATGAGTAAGTGAGTGTGAGAGTGTGAATGAGTAAGTGAGTGTGAGAGTGTGAATGAGTAAGTGAGTGTGAGAGTGTGAATGAGTAAGTGAGTGTGAGAGTGTGAATGAGTAAGTGAGTGTGAGAGTGTGAATGAGTAAGTGAGTGTGAGAGTGTGAATGAGTAAGTGAGTGTGAGAGTGTGAATGAGTAAGTGAGTGTGAGAGTGTGAATGAGTGAGTGAGTGTGAGAGTGTGAATGAGTGAGTGTGTGTGAGTGTGAGTGAGAGAGAGTGAGTGTGAGAGAGTGAGTGTGAGAGTGTGAGTGAGAGAGAGTGAGTGTGAGTGAGTGAGTGTGAGAGAGTGAGTGAGTGTGAGAGAGTGAGAGTGAGTGAGTGTGAGAGAGTGAGAGTGAGTGAGTGTGAGAGAGTGAGAGTGAGTGAGTGTGAGAGAGTGAGAGTGAGTGAGTGTGAGAGAGTGAGAGTGAGTGAGTGTGAGAGAGTGAGTGAGTGTGAGAGAGAGTGAGTGAGTGTGAGAGAGTGAGTGAGTGTGAGTGAGTGAGTGAGTGTGAAGTGAGTGAGTGAGTGTGAGTAAGTGAGTGAGTGAGTGAGTGAGAGAGTAAGTGAGTGAGTGAGTGTGAGTGAGTGAGTGAGTGTAAGAGTGAGTGAGTGTGAGAGAGTGAGTGAGTGTGAGAGAGTGAGTGAGTGTGAGAGAGTGAGTGAGTGTGAGAGAGTGAGTGAGTGTGAGAGTGAGTGAGTGAGTGTGAGAGAGTGAGTGATCGAGTGTGAGAGAGTGAGTGATCGAGTGTGAGAGAGTGAGTGATCGAGTGTGAGAGAGTGAGTGATCGAGTGTGAGAGAGTGAGTGATCGAGTGTGAGAGAGTGAGTGATCGAGTGTGAGAGAGTGAGTGATCGAGAGAGTGAGAGTGAGTGAGTGTGAGAGAGTGAGAGTGAGTGAGTGAGAGTGAGTGAGTGTGAGTGAGTGTGAG